TTTAATTTTATATATACTGTACATTTTCCTGGCAGTGGTGCAGCACTAGGGCCCCAGGTTCCATTCCTGGGGTGCTATCTGTTCACATGCTCTCCGCATGTCTGAGGGGGTTTCCTATTACAGTCCATAAGTGTAAGCAATTATTATTAATTATTATTATTACCAGTAACCTTCAGTCAATCTCAGCCATGTCCATTCACCATGAGAAAAAGCAGCTTGGAGTCAATAAACACATTTACAAAGTACCAGGTTTTAAAAGGTATTCATTCTTGGTCACTCCATAAACTGTCAAGGGCTATAAAGTGTGTGGTGCATCATTTTAACTCTGTTTTTCCTTTTTGATTCTCAAGAAAACCAAGAAGAAGAAAAAAAAAGGGAAGATTTCGGGGAAGATTTCAGGGAAGAAGAGGAGGAACAGAAAGTGATTCTCTTAATTGACTGCTTGCTGCTCGTCTGGATCAACTCAAAACCATAATATCACTGCAGCACGTAGGATTTCTGTCTGTCAGAAGTACAAAGGGGTTTTAGTGTTTCCCAGTCTTTCTTCCAGCTACAGTACCTTTGAAGTATTTTCTCCACTACAAGCCTAAACAAAATATTATTCCACTTTCTAGTACAACCTAACCCTTTGATTAATTCAAAAGGCCTTGGAAACTGCTCAGCAGTATAGTCAAAATAGGTTTACACTGGAACCCAAATTGAGAATGAATATACACAGAATTTTTTTTTAAAAGCTTGGATAAGTGTGTCAGAAAAAGAACAAGAACAAGTATAAGAAAAACAGCCAATAGAATTACACTGAAATCCATCAAGGCTTGTCTAGTATAACACTGACCACTAAGTGAGAGTGATTAAAGCACACAAGTGGAAATCTCTCAAAGCTTATCTAGGGACACCACTGCTAAAAATACTCGGTATCCCAGCATTCCCCAGACCCAAGTATTAGGCTCAGGGCTCCAAGGCAGAAAGAGCTATTGTATTTTGTTTTTGTTCTCACCCCCACACTCTTTGTTGCTTCACTGCTCTGCACAGCAGGGAAAAATAAAATCACCTTTGCTTTCAGCTCTTGCAGTAGGTCACAGTGATGTACACTGGAGCTACACACTGTGCCCATGCCTTACTGAAGGTGGCTGTCTAGACAATACAGTATAAATTCAGATTTATAATATATAAACATACTAGTAATATAATACTTACTAGTGTAATAAGATTATCTAATATCATAAAAGTGAAATGTTATGTTTTGAAACTCCATACTGGTTTAGCTTTTTATTTAGTAATACCTGCAAATCACGCAAAATAAAATAATGACACCAGTACTTCTTTACAAAGGGTTTATAATTTCTCATGTCTCCGACAAACACAGTTTGCATTATGTTGGTGGAATACATAACAGTAATGTCTTGCTTTGAAGTTAAGTTGGTTTGCTTGCTAGTAAAATACAATGCAAACATTACATAAACCGTTCTATATGTAACAAGGACATATGAAACTCAGGACCAAGCATACTGTAGATGTTTTTGGTTAACCGCTACAGAAATTGTGGAGAAGATATAACAGTTCCTTCACCCAACACAAAAACCCCATCCCGCACCACTGGTACCCTCCATGCTTCTGCCCAAGATCCCCTAAACTATAAATAGGTATAATGGAGCCCCCAGCCTCCAACATCCCACCGCTGGCACCATAGCAGCAGTGCACAGTTCCTGGTAAATGGGCCAGGATAGGATCTAACTAGGAGTTTCCATCAAGACCCCTAAAATCCAGCTGCACAAGCAATAAACATTTTACTGACCCATGACAACTGTACATCCAGTCCTCCTTTATCGTGGGGGATACATTTCTGAGCTGTCTGAACAAAATGCATCTATAGGGATAAAGCACTCCTATGCCATATATACAGTATACTGTGGGTATTCCTAATACACCATGCAAATGAACAGAAATATGACAAATAATATGAGTACATGACAGAACATTAAGAAATTACTGCACACATTTCCATTATATCATTATAGAAAAGAATACTATAAAAATAAACATGCACCATGTAGCTTTACACTTATTAGCAATCTTCAGAACGTCATGAATCTGAAGACAGATTAAATGTCACAAATCCCAACTTAAACTGGGTAATTCATGCAGGGAATAGAGCTGAGCTTTAGAGACGGTCATACACCAGACTTGGCCTGACACCACCAATATACGAAACCATGGATGAGAAAAACATGGGTGAGTAGGAAGAGGAATATTGACTCACTGAAACACTATAATTACATTCTGTCTGTGACTGTCTAGGAAATCGCTCAATAAGGAACAATATGTACAGTATAAGAACACAGACTGTAAAATATTAATTCCCTGCTTTGATGGCAGATAGATATGTTTTATTTCCTTCAAAAATAAATCATACCATTTTATATATATATATTAAATAAATTAAAACAAATCTCTCTATTAGTGGTGACTTGTCAAAGGAGGATGCTATTATCTCAAATTTGTGAATGTTGCTTCCTTTTCACATTCCACACATTTCAGATTGTCATGTAACATAAGAGAAAGCTAATAAAAACTATTAATATCATCACTACTTCTCTTATTGTATTAGTAATTCTTATTCCTCCTTCCATTCAGTCTGTGTAGTTGACAGGAGAGATGATCAGTGGGGCTGCATTTTTGCCTCCATGATGTTTGTTGGGGCTGAAGAACGGGTAGAGTTTCTCAGTGAAGGTGTCAGTGAAAGTGTAGATATGAGACCTGGCCTCCACATTGTAGAAGGAGACCTGGCCCTCTTCATAATCCACATACACCCCCACCTTCAGGGGCTTTAAATTCAGAGGGAATATGACACCATTAGCCCAGTATTTATCCCCATTCCTCAGACACAAAACCCAGCAATTATTTTGAAGTTTATACGTAATCTGCCCCTTCCTGTTGACGGACTCTCCAATAACTCCTAAATCCCAGTCAGTCTTCCTCCCCACCTCCACCTCCCAGTAGTGTCTCCCTGAGGTGAAACCACCCTTTCCCACCACACAGTGACAATGATCAAACCTCTCAGGATTGTCAGGGAGATCCAGCTCTGTGCCTCCGTATCTCACTTGTTTCCCGTCCTCAGACACGATGAGCCAACGAGCAGCTGTATTGGGGTTCAGAGTCACATCAACTGTGGAGCAGAGAAAAAAAAAACAATAATGAAGAAAGTACCGTACATCTCATCCATCTCTTAAATAAATGGAAAGGAAAGAAAGGAATATTATACTGCTGTTTAATCCGTAAGGTGATACATGAAATTGTTGTGAAAACTTTTAAATGTAGTGAACTTAAGACACTTAAACTTTCAAATCCAGATAGTGGGCTAAGTTTTTTTTCATAACCACAAAAAAGATTATTCTATCTACAGTATGTCATTTCCCAAACATATTGGATATAGCCTTTTAACCACTGTGTTTTATTCAGTTGTTCTGTTAAAGACTAATAATAAAGAAACAAGCACACTGACTCTCGCCTGGCTGTAGAAATGACAGCGCTGGTTGGAGATCAGAGCTGGCATATTCCCCCTCACTGACAAGGGATAATCCGGGGAGAACTGCTGCAATGATGTTGGGGTGAGGCAGTGGGGCTAGGCCATGATCGATCACAAAACTTTTATAAGCAGGGAAGCAGAAGTGTAAGACTGTAATTTGACTGCCTCCTGAACTACTGTGCAATAACAACAATAATGTTAACATGTTAAAAGATTCCCATCAAGCAGCTTAATAGTTCAAATAAGGATCCAGTAAAAACCTGCAGGTGTCTGGGTCCTCTAATCTAGAGAATTAGAGTTGAACTGTTGGGCATATTTAGAATCTTTAATCTTTCACCAAGTGTTATTTTCTAGAAATTTAAGAACTGCGCTCTTCTGGACATGAGAATGAATGTGATTTGGAAATTGTATTGGGTTCTTTTGCTAGTTAAAATAGAGATGCGAAACATGATTAGATGTGTTTTGTAAACTGTAAAGCACTTTTTTGGTCATATTATTTATTGATGGAGGTTAGGGCCTATAGACAAGACTGATCTTTAGTGTTTATGTTTCAGGAGACCTGGCTGGGTTTAACAGTAAGGACTATGGGTTTGACACCTGGGCATGACATCATACCTGTCAGGATACCATTTCACCAAAGTAAATAAGACAACCAATTGTTTGTTAGCAAATGGAATAATAGGCTCAATTGCATAACATTGAAAATTACATACAGGCATAGTCCCATAGCTAGTATGCAGCTCTACACTAAACTAGTATACTAGGCAAATATCAATTGCAATAAACAATTAGCTCCTAGCTAAAAAATCTCTCTACTGCAATAAACCTAAATGAATAGCTGCTGCCCTCTGGTGAACACTAAAATGCAATCCTAAATTAGTCCAACTCTCAGAGACAAAGATTACAGGACCATTGCAGACAAAGCACTTCACTCTCTTGGTTTTTGGCCAATGCTGCACTGTTAAGGAAAGGTCTCTGCCAAAACAGGCATAAAAGAGCTACTAGTTATTTTATTCCTCTGAAATGTAGACGAGGCATTTTCATACTATACTAGCTGGAACAGTGAATCACATGGGAATGATCCAATTGCACTGGCAGCTAATGAATGAAATAAAATTGTCACAATGCAATAATTTTAAGCTTACTTTGCCGTGAGATAATATATGTGTACATAACTGTATACATAACTTCTTGCTATCATCCTATCTCACATACTAGACAGGATGTAGTTTTCAATAGTGAGTTTTGCGATATGTATGAAGATAAATGTTTTGGTGAAGGAAGCAAACTGAAATTGAGTAGAGATGTATTTGGCAACCCAAGAAAAATCAATTGGAACCCTGTTTCACTATACATAATTCAACACTTTAAAATCATTCTACCACTGATGCAGGGATACCCATCCAGACTGTCCTTCTCACTAGAAAAGACGAGTTCTCTTTCTCCATACCATCTCTAGGATAGGTCAAGGGGTGTCCAACAGGGCTTCTGGGTCCGATTTCTGGCAGTGTGGTTCAGTTTGTTATGTTGAGAATTCGGCACTTTGGATGCATATGGTAGCTCTGTACTAAGGTTCCAACCACAGATCCCATTTTCAGATGTGTCAATTTTGTATTATTTTCTTCTGAAGTTATTGTGGATTTTGATTTTTAGAGATTCTGGAGAAGAAAATTACTGTCCCTACTATATGCATTTAGCTGTACTGGCACATTTTTCCACACATTATTTACTGTCTTGCATTTAACAACACAATTAAACAGTTAAATTAAATTACCCTTACCTGCATACTTGCGCGCCTTGTGGAATTCTGGAGACAAAAAAAATGTGAGAATTGTAGTTGTGTTTAACACCTAGTTTTTGAACAATTTAAAATCCTGGTGCCATGAGCTCCCAGACAGAGCAGAAGTGCATGTCTTATAGCTGCAACATATTTCACAACGCTATTGTCAGGAAAATGACCAAATCTTTGCTGTTGCATATGTATTTGCATTTTATTGAACAGACATTACATTTATTATGGAACAGGTTAAAGGTTCATTCTATGCAGAAATGTTAAAAATAAAAGTTCTCTCCATACTTTTCTTTTAACCTATACCTGTTCCTATGCATGCTAATGCTTATGCAGCTCCCTACTCGAATGACATTTATTATGTTGATTGGCACTTGTTAACGACATGATTGTTCCACAGAGGGTATATTATGAAACTCAAAGGCTATCAGCATGTGACCACATTGGAAGCAACACAAGCTGCACATCTGTGACACATGCTTTGCACCACGTTGCAGATGCTACCTTGTGGGATTCCCTCTTATTCCTTTTAAATAACCTTGGACAAGCATGAGCCAATTCATAGCATACATGTTCAAGAAAGCTCAGGTCTACTCTGACATACCCACAACATTACTGTTACACTGTCTATCTGCAAGATAACCTTTGTTCTCCAAGGTGTAAGGGCATGGTTTTCCTCCTGGAGTGTTGTCACATCAGGATAATCCCACAAGAAGGGCAGCACGTGTAGTCTCAGGACTTGATCAAACTTGCTCCATACGGTCTAGGTGATATTAATCCCAGCAAGTGGAGCTAATAAGCAACTAGAAACTCTTACCCAAACCATTGCATTTGGACTTTCCATCAATATCAACTGGTCCACTGTATGCAACAACTAAGTAATCATTGTGCTTGTCTGTGCACACTAACTGATGTCAGTTAGGTTTGTCTCAAAATCTTGATTTGTTAACAAAGAGGACTAGACTGTTGCAGATGTACTGTATCAACCAGAGGTTTTTGCTCCAAATAGTCAAGGAACACTGTTCCTTTGACATGTGGCACATTTGTGTCCTTTCAGTGTATTTCTTTTCACCAGGACTGAAATCCAATAGATTTGATCATGTCAGATCAAAAGCATGTGATCACGTGTGCCTAATCTGTCCTCACCAACAATTTAGTTTGTCTGCAACAAAATCACTTGAGTTTATCCCTCAAGTGACTTTGTGTCAATCATGAATCATCAATTAATTAAAACCACATCAAAAACATTTTTTACGCTATTCAATATGAATTAATTGAGAGCGATATGCTTATTTTGCTGCTCTGCATAGAGCTGTCTACAGGCTTCAAAGACTGACACAATATTTCAACATCCATCTTAATACCATGTGACAGAAAAAACGATGTTTCTTTGAAATCGGATATCAGCTCACTTGGGTTATACAAATGTAGACCAGGAATGGCAGTGGTCTTCATTTCAACTAAGTCCTACATTATTTGATTGTAGCCATTATTTGAAGACTTAAGACAAAATGAAACCTTTCCTTGGTTCCTAATGTGCTTCTAATTTAAATGGACTTATAAAACCTCCTGGACTGACTGCAACCCTCTGGGTCAGGAGTTGGGCTCCCATGTGGCTAGCTTAGTATAAATTCAGACAACAAAACACACCCCCTTGCAACCATGTCTTATTCTACCTTGTATAATCTCATCTGTATAGCCAAGCTAGTGTTCTCTCAACCAATCCAGTTCGAGTTAAATCTGCAACTCAAACTGATGCAATAAACAAACCGATACTAGACTATAGCTACTGACACACAGTTATACTCACTGATTTCGGGCACTTTCTCCATTTCTTCTCTGAGTCTCTCCTCTAGTTGGGACACAACTCTTCTTATAGCCCCCAAACCAAGGTCAGGCTGAACAGCGATGTTAGCCCAGTCCTTAGTCTGCAGAGGGAAGCTCTGGGATGGAAATCTCTACAGCAGGAAGAAGAAGAGGTTCATTGAGGTTTTAAAGCCTTGTGAGGAAATAAGAGCACTTCTAAGTCTGAACAAAGAAAACTAGCACATGATATAGAACACTGTCAATGTGGTGACAAAGTTCATTCTCTTTGCTCTCTAAATATCGTGTCTTCTCCTTTCAATGGTGTGAGCTGACCTGTAGAAAGTGGAGGTGGTCCTCGGTGTGGGAGAGCTTTTCCAGCTCAATGTTTCTCCACAATAACAAGTTGATTTCCTGCTCCAGCTCTTTGATGAGTCCTTCTGCCTTCCTCTCTGCTGCTCTCTGCTTCTCCTCAATCAGTTCAATGAGCTCAGCCTGGCTTCTCTCAATGTGGCGCTGGAGAGCAGTGAAGACCTGCACACTGTCCTCGATCTCTCTCTGTGCACAGCTCTGAGGCGACAATAGACAAAACACAGAAGACATGATTGATATCACAAAGCGAGGTTCATTGACAGCTGAAAGAAACTCCTACAGTAAATCTGTAGTGCACTGAGCCTTAGAATTCATAGGATACTTGACAGGCCTCACTTTGCTGAGCTCCACTGCCTGTTTGATCTCCTCCACCTTCTTCAGTCTGTCCTGGATCATCTGTTGTACTTCTGCCTCAGTCTTCCGCAGCTGAGTCTAAAGGCCAACAGGGAACAAAAGCACTTCCATCACAGTTACTGACCCAAAGACACTCAGATGATCAACAGACACTCACACTAAACACAAAGAGGGGAAATGTGGCCTTAAATAACCATCATCATGACACATTTTAGTCCCACAACAATATATTGTAGCGCCCTCGCCTGGTGGTGAGGTGAAGTGCACCTAGGCGTTCAGGGTACCGCAAAGCAGGCTCGGAGTTGTAGCTGGGGGGAGTCTGAGAGTCCGCACAACGACCAGCAGCTGACCCTGCTCATGTAAATAGAGTTATGTTAGTTTAAGTGTCCTGCGCAGCTTAGTAAAGTGTGTAGAGTCTGTTAACGAGTTACCACCCTAAACCTGTGTACATGTTCCGTTGGTCCCCTAATGTGTGTGTAAATCCTGTGGTTGGCATTATAAAGAAGAATAAAAACTCTTGCTTGTTTTCCTATCACATCTCCACCTGTCCTTTGCCCTGCACGAATCTGTAAGCGCTACAATATTCAGACTTTGTTATAGATTTAAATATAAGTTTTCAGATCAATAGAAAAAACTCTATGGCAAAATAATTAAATGTAGAAATTCTTTATGGTGCACATTTGTATATCTAAAATGGAATCTAATTTTAAGAGATTGGTAAATTTGTTGTAAATAACTTTTTCGACACAGACATTACAAAAACAAAGGCTAACTTTATAACGCGGAGCTTAAAGATTGATTTCCATTATGATTATTCAGAATATGTCCAGGCTTACATTGAGAATACTATTTTAGTAAGCCATATTCTAGTCTTACAACCCACCTGTTTCTCTCTGTATTCTTCCTCTAAAGCCACAGTGCTGTGCGCCTGGTGGTCTGTCTCAGTGCAGAACTGACAAACACAGGTCTGGTCTGTCCTGCAGAACAGCTCCAGAAGTTTCTCGTGTTTCTCACACAGCCTGTCCTCAAGTTTTTCCACGGGGTCAATCAGCCTGTGTCTCCTGAAAGCAGCTCCTTGATAGTGAGACTGGATGTGAGTTTCGCAGTAAGAGGCCAGACAGACCAGGCAGGTTTTCACAGCCTTGAGCTTCTTCTCAGTGCAGACATCACAGGGCACCCAACCTAGTTTAGTGGAGGGGAACCCAGCACTGCTGGCTCTTGTCTTCTTGAACTGTTCAGAGATTTCTCTTAAGCTTCTGTTCACACTGAGATCCGGCCGTGCTAGGAAAGCTTTCTTACAAACTGGACACTGATACACGTCACTACTGTCCCAGTATGCTTCAATGCAGGCCAAGCAGAAATTGTGCCCACATGAAGTAGAGACTGGTTTGTTAAATATATCCAGACAGATGGAGCACAGAAACTGCTCTTCCGACAGGAGACTACTGGGTGAGGCCATTCCTGTGAGAAGAGAAGCAGTAACAGAGAAAATAATAGGAGAAGATTAGCAGAAATAATACAATACAAACAGCACAGAACAGATCTGGAGGGACAGAGGCTACATACACAGACACAACAGATGGGAGTTAGTTAATATTTCAGTCACCTCTCGCTACCTCACACCTGGAAAGAGACACCTTCTCTGACACTTCCACAGGCAAATTCTCAACTGAGCTTCTCACCATAGCAGTGTGGAAATCCCCAGTGGCAGAGACTAGGAGCGCCCCTGTAACGTTTTCATCGGGAAAGAACTCAAAGAATGGATGTCCACCAAAAAATAACATTTCTTTTACAAGCAGCTGCCCTTCTAAAACAAACAGTAACACAATATTCCCCCGTCTATCGAAAAGAGTCTACTTTGAAAACTTAATGTATTGCTTACATTCAATAAAGTAAGCCTTAGAAAGAAGAACTTTTTTTTGTCCACAAACGGGATTTTCAAACTCTATGTTGTAGTTAATGAAGCTCAAAAACCTCATACATCACCTGACAAACACACTCCTCAGTCTATCCCAGCACACCTACCTGTACAGACCATATAGTGTACTTTAACTTTCCTATTCGTATTTATTCACACTGTACTTTCTTCCCACTGTCAATCAGCTCAAACTTTCTTCGCACTGAACCAGGGCTCTCAGTCCAGCGGTGTTTCTACCTTACTGAGGATGAAACAGTTCCGCAGCCCCACACACCAACAGCGTGCAGCTCTCCTGTTCACTTCCACTTGCGTATAACCCAACAGCTCTCCTCCCCTTCCCGAAGTGCAGTGCGGCTCCTCTGCTCTTAAAGGCACAGCAGACCTTTGAAGCTGATACTGTGACTTATTTCATGAAACGGCAGAATGAGATCCTTGAATCAATTAACTATCAAATGGGTTAGATGGCGGAATGGCCTTCTCTTCTCTAATGTTTCCTTTCTATACCGCTGGGCTCTCGGCCTCTCTTAGGACGCAACAACACTCTGCATAAACCAGGAGCGCTTTCGCAGGAGCTGAGACAGCAGCTCTTTGATCGGCACTAATTTTAAAGGACACAAAAAGGTTTAAATAAATGACTTGGATACTTGAATAGCTGCTTGTAAAAACTGAACACGGTCAGATTTTATCAGTGAAAAGAAAGCTTTAGAATGGGAGAGACATATCTCATCCCGTTGTTTCTCAAAGGATTTTAGGTCAACTATGTGTTTACTTTAGCACTCCTGTATCATGGATACATTTCCCACTGGCCCATACCAATCACGGGTTTCTAATAATCCCCATCTATTAATTAGCTTCGTCACTCCGTTCCTCTCCTGACTGATAACTGAGGTGTGGTGAGTGTACTGGCACACTTTTGCTGACATTGCATCCAGGTGAGGACTGCACATCGGTGGTGGGGGAGAATCCCCATTACCTCTGACGCGCTTTGAGAGGAGTGTCCAGAGATGCTACTGCTGCTGCTGATGATGATGATTATAATAATACTGTGGCCTGAACTCCATCCCCAGATACCTGTCCCACTGATATTCTTAAACTGTTAATCTGTAAGGCATATATTTATAATATTTTCTGTTCAGTTCTCTAAAGTGATTTTGATGCTTCCAACGTAAGAGTTTTTGTGTGTGTTCAACACCACAGACAGTCCTTTATTTTATCCTGTACCAGAGGTATCGGACAGTTTGGAGTTTTGGAGTTTTCTTCCAACACGAGTCATCAATTAATCAATCAGCCTTTTCTTATACACATATAGGATGTTATTTACCTCCAAGAAGAGTCTGATATCTTTGCCCTGTATATTATAATACTGTGGCTGTATGAAATCCATTTTGAAATCCATTTGGTTTACCTTCCATCTTAGTCAATATTTATTTTAGTTTTCCAACTGGAATTGAGAATTCCTGTTGTTTTCAAAGCTCAGCGCATTGGTTTCTAATAATATTTTTATATTTTTCCATAATTCTATGAGCTCAATACTTGAGTGCCGGGGAGCATGTCTAGTAGACCAAGATAACTTGATACTTGATACTTTTTTCTCCTAGTTGCTGCGCTGTTTCCCTAATACTGGATCATTTCCCCAGTTTCTTCTGCTGGGGCTGTTATATTTGGTACTTTGAATTTCGTTTCCTAAAATGCCAGGCTAGCAGTCCCTACTGCATTAGGATTAATTAGAATACGATATCCTAGATCATGAGACCTTAACTTGCTAAGACATCTAGATGTCTTGATTTCCTACATTGAAAATAATTATAGTGTCTTGTTGGGAGATACTCATTTCAAATTGTCTAATGTTTACAGAGGGAGGCATGGTGGTGAAGCGATTAGCACTGCTGTCTTGCAGCACTGGAGCCCTGGGGCGTTCTTGACTTGGTGTGTTATCCGTATGTAGTTTGTATGTTCTTTCCGTGTTTGCGTGGGCTTCGTTCAGGTATGCCCTGCTTCCTCCCGCAATCCAAATACGTACTGGTAGGTTATTTGGCTTCTGGGAAGAAAGAGCCCTCGTGTGAGGGTGTCTGTATCTGTGTTTGTGTTTGTGTGTGCCCTGAGGGGCTCTGGCTTCCCTGTGACACTGAATTGGATGAAGTGGCTAGAAAATGAATGGATTGATGGATGTTTACAGATGAAAAATTCTGTATATATATAGAAACATTGCTCATTCCTGTGGGCTAAATGAAACAGCAAGTGTTCTGAGTGACCAAAAGAAGGCTTAATGGCACTGTTTATGGCATTAGATGTGATCCTGATGGCTGTTTCTGTCTAGTTATGATGCCTGTTAATCACATTAAACAGTCCATAATATCACTATATACACCTAACACATTTGATCCTCAATTTTACACAATGTATGAACTTAACTGTCCAAATCAAGCACTTTTTACAGATGTCTGGATTGATGTTTGATGATTAAGCAATAATGTCAAAGTTTACCTTCCTGTTCAACGAGACATTAAATTTACTGGCATAGAAATTATGGTTTGTGTTTCCCCATCTTCTTCCAGACCGTTTGAGAGATACGTTTTACACTTTAGCATAACCCTTAAAATGATTAAAAGTCTTGTTAAATGCTCCTGTGCTGCTTTGGCTAAAATCCTCAGTAGAAATCCTCAGTAGAGCCCCCAAAAGGAAGTTGCAATTTCACTGTCAGAAGCAGAACTGGAACTAGCCTTGCAAGAGAACAAGGAGAGACACCTAACCACTGTTAACAATGAACTCAAACATATCACTGCTGCCAAAGCAGCACTAATTGTATACAGCATTAGGTAGAGTATTTATGAAAATGTTGACCACCATTCTGTTGAAATGATTAGAGAAAACCATGAGGTTGTACTTTCTAATCCTTTGCAGATCGATGAGCACACACAGTATTTAGGCCATTCCATCCTCCAATTGTTTTTCTAAAGGCTTTATCCAGTACAGGGTCATGGGGGACATTGGAGCCCACCCCAGCAAGGAACAGGTGCAAGATCTATCACAGTTATCTCTTTTCTTATCAAGCAAAACATTCTTTAGCTTGATGCACTTCTGACCAGGCTGAGGTTTCTAAGGGGCTTCTCTACAGGAACTGAAGGCACTAGGCCAGTCTGTGTTGAAAATGTTTCCAATATTACTCCACTACAGTAATTAGTGTCATTACAGGATCGGGGGTCCCCTAATACTCAATGAGATCATTTTCGTGTTGGAGACATTTTAATATTTTGACCTTTGCCAAAGCGGTGTGGGGCAGGATGGACAAAACTATTCAACTCCTGGGAGCGTGAGCGGTGCTCAGTTACCAGTACATCCTGCTGGCGCTGGCACCGACTGCACTGGACAGAAGACACAGTATTTGCTTTGGCTATCTGTGTCCACAACAGAACAAGGACTGTGGAAGGCGAGGATCACTCTCGCCCAGCACAACACAGAGTGGGGAGCGAGGGAGCTGGAGGAGAGGATCCTGGCGGACCTCAGAGTAAGGATGAAGTGTGCCATCACCAAATAGGCCTTCTCAACGGTGAAGGAGCGCTGGGAAGGGACTTTGGGCCCTGTACAGGGACTAAAGAGGAAATCTCTGTTCCCTGAGCTCCTGTTCTGCAGTTTCAGAGCCGGGACAGGGAAATGGCATGGACACAAGCAAGTGGTAGGTCTTGGAGGGACTCTTTCATTGTGCAGATCTGGCCCCATCATCCACTTACACTGATTGATGATGGACAATCACCTCTTTTAGGCAGTTTTTCTTTGGTGTTAGTTTAATCATTTGTTTGAATGTGTATGTATTGTGAAATGTGGTTTGTAAAATAAAGTTTATTTTGATAGCAAAAAAATAGGAACCCAAATAGGCTTCATCAGTTAAAAAAAATGCTCAAGCTACAGTGTGGTTTGTCTCCTTGGTCTTTCCCAGGTTTTTGTCTGTTGTGTTTGTGCTTGTGTACTTTTTTGTTTTAAGTCTCCGGAGCTCTACTCGACCCCCCCTTCCTCCACCCAATAAAGGTTTTTACCCTGGAGGAGGGGGTAGCTCTCAGCCGTGGACTCCCGGAGGTTTCCTTTCAGCTAAAAGAGGTTTTTCCTCCCCCCAGTGCTGTGCAGCTTATTTATTTGTATGGGCGTCAGGAGCAGCCCATGAAGGGGGGTATCAGGAGCAGTTAGGGCTTCATCACAGGGCGAAACAACAGGGAGGTAGAGGTGAACGATGACTGAACAATAGGAGTGACTATGCTCTGCTCTCACTGACCCTCTGATTGTTCCACCCCTCAGTCTTTGGCCCAAGGACAGTGGGGGTGTGTGTGGATATTGAGAAGAGGAAGGTCTCCTTTTGCCCAATGGAATCCAGGACTCACATCTTCACGTTCTTTGGTCTTCAGTCAGGTGGAGAAGATCTATCCTGTCTTTTGTTCCTGAGATTATCCTGCAGACATTTATGGTAGCTGCAGCCTCCTGTCCACTATGGAGATTAAACACATCACTGTCTGATTAAGAAAGGGTGATTCATTCAAAGCTCCCTGTCTCAATATTCATATTATGATCTGATTATTATAATCAAAACATGGTCACTGTGTTTTTCGATGTCTTTCTGTTTTTCTGTGTCAGATTTCAAACTCAAAGAGTATTATTGGCATAAACAATGAATTAGTGTTGCCAAAGTAATGCTTGTACAGGCATACACAACAGCATTCATGTAGGGCTCCTCCACTGTAGCCATGCATGCCCTGGAAAGATAATGATCTGACTAGTAGACTAAATTCTAAAAGCTTTAGATGTAGCTCTCTCTAATCTGACTCTGTCTTCCATTACTCATGTGTTATCATAGATTGCACTCTAGATAAACTATGACAGACTCTCCACAAGAACAACATTTTCATTAATTCCTGCACAATATTGAACAAACATGCTCTGTCCTCTATCCTACTTCTGCACCTGGTGTTGACATCACCCACCAATCTGCTGCAAGGACCCCTGTGCAGCCCAGGCAACCAGGTCCTTCCACCATATCTTGTCCTTCTACAGAACATCTGTTCTATTTAATTAAGCAGAAAAGGAAAAGAGCAGTCAAACTCTGTCTGTCCCCACTTGCTTTCCTTTCCCTGTTCAATGCACAGCCACAGACTCACTTTCAGTGGGAATGTTGCTCTGCTGGCTGGATGGGCCTAGCTGGAAGAACCAGTCAGCTCAGTAAAGGAAGGAAGTAGTAGTCAACACTGGAGACTGTTTCAATTAGTAAAATGGAGGATTACACGGGAAAATGTCTTCATCTTACAGCCCAAATTAATCTTTCTAGAACAAGTCTGATGTCCACCTCCAGATAGGAAGAGAAGCAGACGCCCAAGAGCTAAAGAGTGTGAGGTCAGTGCTGAAGAACACTCAAGGACAAGACTTCTGTGTGCTGGAGGGACAGTGAGATCAGTCAGATACAGCAGTGTGTGAGTGATCAGTCAGGACTGAAGCTGCTGTGTGCTGGAGTGACAGTGAGATCAGTCAGATACAGCAGTGTGTGAGTGATCAGTCAGGACTGAAGCTGCTGTGTGCTGGAGTGACAGTGAGGTCAGTCAGATGCAGCAGTGTGTGAGTGATCAGTCAGTCAGGACTGAAGCTGC